TCGTCTATTCTCACGAACAGCGAACTCATTAGCATTGGTCGTCCTCTGGCGCCAATTGCTCAGGATGCATCGTGGGCTGATCACCCACAGCAACAAGACTCCCCAAGTACTCCCCAACAACAACCACAAGCTACACCACCCGTGCAAGAAGAAGAAGAAGACTTTGAGGCCCAGCCAACTCCATCTCCAAAGGCGTTGCCAGCATTTCGCAGGCTTTGCAAAGGACAAAAGCCTCAAGTCCCTTTTTTGAGCGTTCCAGAAGGAGAAGTGCATCATCAACCTGTTGCACGTCAAGTGTTTCCTGAAGCCACTCCAACTGAGAATGTCTCCGCGTCTGAAGCCCAAGCTGCTGAAGACATTCCGGCTGCATCAGCAAATGAAAGATAAGAAGACGTACGTGTCCCTACTTCCCCAGTTATTGAAGAAGTTGTTCCTGATGGGAACGTGCCAGTGCCCGACACTCCAGCTCGTCAGGTGGAGGTTGAAAATCCTGAAGCTGCCACTACCAACGCAAGTGAAGCCAATGATGTAGTCATGGCTGAAGCTAATGTGGAGCTTGAACCAACCAGGGTGCCTGAAGCTAATGAGGCAACTACTCCCGAAGCACCTGTTGTGCAGCCTGAAGTCTCAGCTGTTGCCACTGCTCCTGTTCCGCCACTAAGGCCCCATACAATTGAGCAAGCATACAATCATGGTCAGCTAACCACTGTCCGATGGCCCATTCTGGTCCCTTTGCCTACTGCCTCTGGACCTCAATTTGATTATCATGTTGAGCATAGGCCTCAGGTCCAGAAACCAAAGCCAAGATTGCCAAGGTTTCCAGGTACTACAAACTCTCCAGGGTCCTTCAATGCTAATGGCTTCAAAAGCCACAATACCTTCTTTGACAGCGCCAAGAACCCCCACTCAAAGCCAAGGATATCATCAGATCGTATCCGGAGCTATCAACAGCTAAGCTATTACTCCTGTGTTCTGTATGATCAAGGGCGCATTTTCCCTCATATGCGCCTCGACGCTGAAGCCATTGCTAGACTGCCATGCTTAGAAGAAGCACTCGACTGCTTTCGTGATGCTGGTCTGCTCAGTTTTGTGACAGACAAAGAACATTGGAATGAAGAACTTTTGCTTCGATTCTATGCTACCCTCCACATTCGCGACTACAACAGAGACATCAAGACATGGGTTCTCGAGTGGATGACTGGAAATGTTCATCATGAAGCCAAAGCTCTTGACATCATTGAGCTTACTGGCCTATCCAGTCCCGGAGATTTCTATGAACCTGACTGCCAACTACACCGCAATGCACAAGAGAGCATCTTCCACAAGCTTGAACCCAATATGAGCCAGATGTTGAGCATGATGAAGCCTTTGCCATCTGACGCTGAATATCCAACAGAGTTCTTTGTTGATGACCTTGAGTATTTGCCTCGCACCATATATCATATCATCAGGTGAACTCTATGGCCTATCAAAGGACATTCATCAGCTGCAAAGCTTGAAGGAGCCATGAAGACATTGGTCTTCTACATCCTCAATGGCATCAGCTTCAATTCTCAAGAATTCTTCATCAGACAACTTGCTGCTTCTGGGTCTGACCTTTTTGGTCTGAAGTTTTATGCTCCATGGGTCATGCGCCTCATCAAGCGACACTCTTCTGTCAACTATCAGCCCTCTGCTCGCAATCATCTGATCTTTCTACCAGAGGTTGATATGTCAGTTGAAGCCATATAGCCTGAGCCTGCCAAGGAGCCTCTTTGTCTTCAAAATGCTGATCACCAAAGCTTCACTCAGTCCATGGAAGGCATTCAAGAAGTAACACGAATCTATCCAATGGCTGGAAATACTCGTCTGCCTCATCGTGCGCAAACTGAAGCCACTGAAAGCACCATTACCCAAAGGCCTAAGAAGCACTCTCGTGTTCTAAATGACCGAGAACTTCTTGTGGCACTTCATCAAAAACAAGATAAGCATCACTATTGGCTCAAGAGACAGATGCAAAGCCTCTTGGTGGACGTCAATCGCATTCGAAATCTTGCCACCAAGAATGCATTTGTTGCTCACGAGACTTGTCGGCGAACATGGAAGAGTTTGACGCTGCTTAGTGCTGAAGCTGATCTTCAAGACGATGGCTTCACTGAAAGATTCAAGTTTGACTCCACTCCTCCACGGACTGCAGTCCTACGTCGCACTCCATCCCTTAAAGACTCTGACTATTTTTCCTCCGCGGCAACTGTGAATGCTAGCGTAATCGATGATGAAGATGATGCTACTTCACCGCCTCCTACTTCTGCACACATCGACACTGCACCAAGTACGTCTGCACCGCCAAGCAACAACGACAACCCTGCTGCTTCACCTACTCATGAGGACGAGTAGATGCTCTATGTCTTCAAACCTTTTTGGTCCTTACTGACAAAAGGGGGAGAAGCATATGAGTTGATAGTCTTCAAGCGGGTTCATATGGGCGGTTGCTTTATATTTTGCCTCGTGTTTACAACTCTCTCGCTTTTGAAACATTTGGTTCTTTGAGTTTTAACACTTAAACTCGATGGTCGTCTGCTACTTATTTGCTTTACTGTGATGCGATGATAAATTCCGCATGTGCGATGATAACTTCCGCACTTAGATCATTCTGCAGACGTCCATTTTTCATTATGCATGTCATTCTATTTGCTATATCATTTCATGCATGATGAATTATCTTCATAAGTTGAAGAGGATCTCCACAAGTACAACCTGCCATGTGCATTTGCATTTCAAAAGCAAATTACTTATATGCACATCTTCAGGGTGAGCCCTTACTACTTATGAAGACAATACCCTATCCTTTACAATTTCACATACTTTATCCCCGTTGAAAACTTCAACCAGTTTGTCATCAATCACCAAATAGGGGGAGATTGTAAGTGCATCTAGTGCCACCCCTAGTTGGTTTTGGAGTATTGACGACAAAGTTGGTTGAGGGACTAATGCGTTTATGAGAATTGCAGGATAACGCAGGTAGTGTCCCTCATTGATTCGGTTTACCTACCGGAGATGACCCCTAAAAATGTATGAAGACATTGAAGACAATGGTGGTATGAGAAGATATTCATATTGAAGACTATGACATGAGAAGACATTGTGTGAAGACTATGGAGCGCGAAGACCGTGTGGTTTCGTTATTTCCTTTTCTTCTTTGTTGAGTCATAGGAACCACCGTACTGTTAAGTGGGGTCCAAGTGAACTAAGTAAGAATGACTGAAGTGATGCTCAACCCAAATTCTATGTCTTTGAGCGAAGACAATGAGAGCAAATCTTATCCTGAGCTAGATGAGTCAGCCTTGCTTGTAGCCCAAGTAAAGTTGCCGTGTGTGTTTGAAATCTGACCGTTGAAACACGTGTCAGTTCCTTAGTGACCCAGGGTCATTTCGGACATATCAGGTCGGGTTGCCCAGTGTCTATAAATAGCCCACCCCCTACACCATAAATTGGTGGCTGCTCAGAGTTAGTGCACGGCTTTTGTCGTTTGAGAGCAACCCACCTCGAAGCCTTTGAGAGAGAAATCCTTGCGAGGACAAAGCCCAAACACCCAGAGCCAAAGAGTGTTAGGCATCACTAAAGTCTTTCTGTCTGTGAGACTTATTACACTTGAGGACTGTGTATCCTCCAACCGGTTAGGCGTCGCGTTCTGAGCATCCAAGAGTCATTGTGGATTGCCGGTGAACGAAGTCTGTGAAGGTTTGGAAGTCTACCTTGAAGACTTACCAGAGTGATTGGGCGAGGACTATGTGTCCTTAGCTCAAGGGGAACAAGATGAAGACGCGGTCTTCTGAGTTGAATCTCAGCCTCCCTAACCAGACGTACAATTGTCACAGCAACTGGAACTGGTCCAACAAATCCCGTGTCTTCAACAAGTGACTGGTTCTATCCTCTCCCTTCCTTTACTTAAGTTTGTCTTCGTGAATTCATTGCCTATCTGTGTATATGTTTGACTTTATTGCTTGACTACTATTGTTGATTGGCTTCATACTATCTTTCATCCTGATCCTTACTATTTAGCTGCTATTAGTCCTGTACTTTCACATCATTGCATATTTGACTATGGTTTGCTTATGGTAGTTTATCTTCCGCTGCACATCAACTAGGTCATTTCTATTATTTGTCTTCGAAACTTCCAAGTTTTGAAGACTTTCATAAAAATCGCCTATTCACCCCCCTCTAGTCGATACTAGCACTTTCAAAATCTCTAAATATTTAGGAATGGAAGGAGTATATAGGAGCACATGATCAGTTTGGAGTACAAGAAATCTAGTCTATCTTATATTCCCTCCGTCCAAAAATACTTGTCGGAGAAATGAATGTACATAGACGTATTTTAGTTCTAGATACACCTATTTTTATCCATTTTTCCAACAAGTATTTCCGGACGAAGGAAGTACTTTCAACAGTTTTGGACTTGGCGAACATCGACGGACTCATTGGGTCTCTATGTTAAAGTTGCCTTTGTGACTCGGCCTTTGCCCACGGCGCAGAGAGTCGATAGCTCATCTACCCACCATCGATGATCCAACGGCCGGTAGCAAAACCTGATTTTATGATCAGTCGCACATCCACTCCGAGAAATTGAATCTTTTGCCCCTCCTTTTCTTCTACTCCCCCCGTTCATAAATATAAAAGTCTTTTTAGAGATTTCAAATGGACTATCACATACTTATGTATATAGACATATTTTAGAGTGTAGATTCACTCATTTTGCTTCGTATGTTGTCACTTGTTAAAATCTCTAGAAAGACATATACTCCCTCCGTCCGGAAATACTTGTCATCAAAATGAATAGAAGGGGATGTATCTAGATGTATATTAGTTGTAGATACATCCCTTTTTATCCATTTTGATGACAAGTATTTTCGGACGGAGTGAGGATTTAGGAACGAAGGGAGTAACTTTGATCATTTGGCCATTGAGAATGACGGATGGGGCCGGGGTCAGTTGGCGTTGAGATAAACATGGAACAAATCATGGGGCAAATCATCAAATCCAGTGTAAATGTAAAGTGGGGCAAAACATCCAATCCCCCGCCCACTCCTCGCTCGAAATCCCGTCCAGATTCGTTCGGAGATGGCGCGAGAGGGAGTAGGGGCAGCCATGGCGCCCGCAGCGGCGGAAGTGAGGTACGGGATAGTTGGGGTCGGGATGATGGGGAGGGAGCACCTCCACAACCTCGCCCACCTCGCCGGAGAAGTCGAGCGGGAGCAGTCCGTCCGCGTCTGCGTCACCTGCCTCGCCGACCCCCACCCGGAGTCCCTCCTCCTTGGCCTCCGCCTCGCTGCGGAGCTTGGCCTGCCACCTCCCCAGGTACCTGCCACAGCCTCCAGTCACATGAATATGATAGTACTACATATTACCGCCGCCTTGCTGGTTGTAGAATGTAGAGCCAGTCATACATAATCAGCTAGTATTCTGTAGTCTACCGTTGATTGGTACTTTGATTCTATCCGAACTATATTTGGTTGGAAGTATTAGGTGCATGGCAACAATGTTCAAAATACTAGCTGTTCCACAAATACTTTGACTGCAGATGATAGACTGTATGTACCGTGCAATTGTGCGTGTTTCTGGTTGGTTACCAAATCCTGAAAACTAGAAGGTTTCAAGACATTTTCAGGTCATCGCGAGTTGCTGGACAGCGGGCTCTGTGACGCCGTTGTTGTGTCATCGCCAAACATGACACACTCTGAGATACTCATGGACATCATTGGTTATGCCAAGCCGCACCACGTTCTTGTTGAGAAGCCTCTGTGCACCACGGTACAGGACTGCAAGAAGGTGACGTCATATTCTGGTCAGGGATGTGCTATGCAATGTGCTTGTTAACTGCTGTAAAGTAAAATATACAGTACCTTTCTGATATACGAGGAGAAACTACTGTATAATTAACCATTTAAGGGATCCATTAAAACCAACGATTACAATTCATCAGTCCACCGAATCTCTGCAAGCTTATTCATTTTGATATCTGAAGTTTTGGTGTCCCCGTATAGGTCATAGAGGCTGCCAAACAGAGACCGGACATACTCATGCAAGTCGGATTAGAATACCGGTATATGCCGCCGGTCGCTAAGCTGATAGATATTGTTAAAAGTGGCACACTAGGGCAGGTCAGAATGGTGGCTATCCGTGAACACCGGTTTCCTTTCCTTGTTAAGGTACGGGAGCCCAATCTATGGTACTTGTAATAATTAATAATTTCCTTCTGTGTGTAACTGCTAAAACCCTTGCAGGTGAACAACTGGAATAGGTTTAATTGCAACAGTGGGGGGACTCTGGTTGAGAAGTGCTGCCACTTTTTTGATTTGATAAGATTGTTTGCAGATGCGAACCCTGTTCGTGTGATGGCTTCTGGAGCTATTGATGTTAACCATAAGGATGAGGTTTATGATGGAAAGGTCAGGTTCATTGACTACAAGCTCTCTCCTTTCACTGTGCTACTCATTATGGTCTTGCGAGTTAAAAAATATGCATGCTGAAGTAGTAGTGCATGATAAGGATTCCTTATTAGTATGTTCTATTCAGGGATTTATGGAATACTGGATGGAATCAGAACTTGCCAAGTGACTACAATATATATTTATTTCAAGCTATCAAACAATTTTTGATCTCTTCTGATTATAATATTAGTAGACACATTTCAGTTAAAACAGTGGTGCTTGATTCCTAAAAATTCTCTCTGGATGCAGGTACCAGATATAATTGATAATGCATATGTGATCATAGAATTCGATAATGGCTGTCGTGGCATGCTTGATCTCTGCATGTTTGCTGAAGGCAGTAAAAATGAGCAGGAAATTTCTGTTGTTGGTGACACTGGAAAGGTACAACCCCAGATATCTTCACATTTAAGTAAAACAGGGATTATTTGTTCTATGGTTGTTGGAGACACATAATACATCTCCCAATCATGAAATGGTGTTGATTTTCACAAAGTTATAGCCAAATATGAGTATGCCGTTATATACACTGGCTGTACATAGGCTTTGCCAATTCACAACTCAGTAACGGTCTTTGGTGATAGAGATAGGGGTAAAGGTCCAAGGACGGTGCGAGAGGGCTCGCCCCTGACTAGTAAGACAGGCTTTGATGCTTAGTTTTATTATTTATGTCATCGCTTAGCTCAAAGAGTTATAAGGCAGTACAGGTCCTTGGACCTTTACCCCCACCTCAGCTCACTGGTGGATCTATTATGAATGAATCGTCAATGGTCCTTGGTGATATATCACATGCATCTCTACATTTGATGCGTATCAGATGTAGTACGAACCGTATCAAATGTGGGACCTGTCTGCGTAATATTGCATCCTCTAGGCTTAGTCCTTTTGCATGCTCTGGTCTGCAGAGAGGCTGTAGTTCACTGGTGAATCTACTATGAAGGAATCATCAATATTTACCGCAATCCTTGGAGATAACTGTAGCACCTCAAAAAAGGGTTAGCTTTGTGCAAAACTAAGAACTTGAAAGGAGACAAATGTCACGAGCCATGACACAGTTATCACATGGTGGGATCAAATAAGAAGGAAGGCGTCGTGAAACGAAGTTCAAGCTGCTCATGCAACCGATGCTCCGTTTCTCCGATTACTAGGATTTCACGAAACTTGCTTCAAATTGTTGCATCGGAGTGAGGGGCAAGTGCTGTGGGTGTTTCTTTTCTCCAGGACAATGGACCTGCCTGTCTTCCCAACCCATGTGCTAGCTATAGCCTCTTAGAATGTTAATTGCATGTGTAGGATTAAAAAGGTCATACTTTAGGCACTCCTGAGTCTATGACATGTAAGACTTGTATATCAATTCAATTTATGGAGTGTCTGTTTGTATTATGAATTTTCAAACAGGGCGAGGCTTTTGTTCCAGAGGGCGTTGTGAGGGTTGGAAAGCGAGCAGGAGGCAGAGATGGAGTTGTAACGTTAAAGGCCGAAGATGAACGAATCAAGTATGTACTACTTTGTCACAATATATCAATGTTTTCCGGATCTTAACATTTTAATAGCAAAATATTAAGAAAATAGATTCTTCTGATGGGAGATACAGCTCCTATTATAATAGTGATTCTTTAAGAAATAGAACTGGTTTAGATTTGAGACTTCATACCTTTCTACTAGCTTTCAATAAGAACTCCTTTCTGTACTTTAGGACGAGTGGTTTACCATCAAATTGTCATGTAGAGTACTCCCTCCGTTCCAAATTACTCGTCGCTGAAATGGATGTATCTAGAACTAAAATACATCTACATACATTCATTCGTGCGACAAGTAATTTAGAACGGAGGGAGTAGTATCTAACGAGCTGTACATACATTCCTTAGGTACCAGGGGCTTCACCATGGATCTAGCTACTTGGAGCACCTGAATTTCCTGTCTGCCATCAGGGCACAAGGTGCATGTAGCCCAGCTATCAGTTTGGATGACGGCTTACTATCTGTTGCAATTGGTGTGGCTGGCCAATTGTCGATCGAGAAAGGCCGTTTCGTCACCATTGAGGAGGTGCTATCAAGCTGATAATCAGCGATTTATCGATGCACTACAGATTTCGTATCAGTTGTATACATCTGTAATAGCATAAGCTGATTTTCTTCAACTTGCATGCACTGGGTAATTGCCTGTCTTGCGCAGTAAGCTACTCCCTCCGTCTGGAAATACTTGTCTTAGAAATGGATAAAATGGATGTATCTATAACTAAAATAAGTCTACATACAACCATTTCAAGGACAAGTATTCCCAGACGGAGGGAGTATTAAGGAATGTTTATATTTCCTTTTTTGTTCTTTCTAAGAGCAAGTGATCCACAAACTGGCAACGATGATCATGTATGTATGTATAGATATATTCCAAATATCAAATGATTTCAGTTATCCGCCTTTGATTCCCCTGGCCATATCATTGTTTTGTTTTGTGAGATAGCGAACCGCTCATGCCAAGCGGTCCTTGACCGTATCAATTTTAAGAAAATGTACCTAACCTGTAGCTTCCAATTCATTTTTCCCAAGTACTATTTGAAACTGACCCGTAGAACGAGATAATCATGCCAGAGATGTACCGTGCATTTGTTGCGCATTAGATGCCGATGGTAGGTGAGACTGCGTGGTTATAAGCTCCTCGCAGAGTCACCTTCTCCTTTCCCTCTCCTTCCTCCCCCCTTCCTTTTCCTAGTTGGACTAGGAAAGAGGGGAGTCCTACTCCTACTAGGACTCCTTCCCTTCTTGGTGTGCCCCAAGGCTGGCCGACCTCCCCCTTGCTCCTTTATATACGGGGGCAGGGGGGCACCTCTAGACACAACAATTGATCTCTTGATCTCTTAACCGTGTGCGGTGCCCCCCTCCACCATATTCCACCTCGGTAATATCGTAGCGGTGCTTAGGCGAAGCCCTGCATCGGTAGCATCATCAACACCGTCATCACGTCGTCGTGCTGACGGAACTCTCCCGCAAAGCTCTGCTTGATCGGAGTTCGTGGGACGTCATCGAGCTGAACGTGTGCTGAACTCGGAGGTGTCGTACATTCGGTACTTGATCGGTCGGATCGTGAAGACGTACGACTACATCAACCGCGTTGTGCTAAAGCTTCCACTTTCGGTCTATGAGGGTACGTGGACAACACTCTCCCCTCTCGTTGCTATGCATCACCATGATCTTGCGTGTGCGTAGGATTTTTTTTGAAATTACTATGTTCCCCAACAGTGGCATCCGAGCTAGGTTTTATGTGTAGATGTTATATGCACGAGTAGAACACAAGTGAGTTGTGGGCGATACAAGTCATACTACTTACCAGCATGTCATACTTTGGTTCGGCGGTATTGTTGGATGAAGCCGCCCGGACCGACATTACGCATACGCTTACGCGAGACTGGTTCTACCGACGTGCTTTGCACATAGGTGGCTGGCGGGTGTCAGTTTCTCCAACTTTAGTTGAACCGAGTGTGGCTACGCCCGGTCCTTGAGAAGGTTAAAACAACACTAACTTGACGAACTATCATTGTGGTGTTGATGCGTAGGTAAGAACGGTTCTTGCTCAGCCCGTAGCAGCCACGTAAAACTTGCAACAACAAAGTAGAGGACGTCTAACTTGTTTTTGCAGGGCATGTTGTGATATGATATGGTTAAGACGTGATGAGATATAAGTTGTTGTATGAGATGATCATGTTTTGTTGAAGTTATCGGTAACTGGCAAAAGCCTTATGGTTGTCTCTTTATTGCATAAGATGCAAGCGCCAAATAATTGCTTTACTTTATCGCTATACGATAGCAATAGTTGCAAGAGCAATAGTTGGCGAGGCGACCATGTGATGACACATTGATATAGATCAAGATGATGGAGATCATGGTTTCATGCCGGTGACGATGGTGACCATGACGGTGCTTCGGAGTGGTGATCACAAGCACAAGATGATGATGGCCATATCATATCACTTATATTGATTGCATGTGATGTTTATCCTTTATGCATCTTATTTTGCTTTGATTGACGGTAGCATTATAAGTTGATCTCTCACTAAATTTCAAGGTATAAGTGTTCTCCCTGAGTATGCACCGTTGCGAAAGTTCTTCATGCTGAGACACCACATGATGATCGGGTGTGATAGGCTCTACGTTCAAATACAACGGGTGCAAAACAGTAGCACACGCGGAATACTCAGGTTAAACTTGACGAGCCTAGCATATACAGATATGGCCTCGGAACACTGAGGGTCGATCGTGAATCATATAGCAGATATGATCAACATAATGATGTTCACCATTGAAAACTACTCCATCTCACGTGATGATCGAACATGGTTTAGTTGATTTGGATCACGTGATCACTTAGATGATTAGAGGGATGTCTATCTAAGTGGGAGTTCTTAAGTAATATGATTAATTGAACATTAATTTATCATGAACTTAGTCCTGATAGTATTTTGCAAATTATGTTGTAGATAAATAGCTCGCGTTGTTGCTTCCCTATGTTTTATATGTGTTCCTAGAGAAAACTAAGTTGAAAGATGATAGTAGCAATGATGCGGACTGGATCAGTGATCTGAGGTTTATCCTCATTGCTGCACATAAGAATTATGTCCTTGATGCACCGCTAGGTGACAGACCTATTGCAGGAGCAAATGCAAACGCTATGAACGTTTGGCTAGCTCAATATGATGACTACTTGATAGTTTAGTGCACCATGCTTAACGGCTTAGAATCGGGACTTCAAAGACGTTTTGAACGTCATGGGCCATATGAGATGTTCCAGGAGTTGAAGTTAATATTTCAAGCAAATACCCGAGTTGAGAGATATGAAGTCTCCAACAAGTTCTATAGCTAAAAGATGGAGGAGAATTGCTCAACTAGTGAGCATGTGCTCAGATTGTCTGGGTACTACAATCGCTTGAATCAAGTGGGAGTTAATCTTCCAGATAAGGTAGTAATTGATAGAGTTCTCTAGTCACCATCAGCAAGTTAGTAGAACTTCGTGATGAACTATAGTATGCAAAGGATGACGAAAATGATTCCTGAGCTCTTCGTGATATTGAAATCAACGAAGGTAGAAATCAAGAAGAGCATCAAGTGTTGATGATTGACAAGACCACTAGTTTCAAGAAAAGGGCAAAGGGAAAGAAAGGGAACTTCAAGTAGAATGACAAGCAAGTTGTCACTCCCGCGAACAAGCCCAAAGCTAGACCAAAGCCTGAAACTGAGTGCTTCTACTACAAAGGAAATGGTCACTGGAAGCGGAAATGCCCTGAATATTTGGTGGATAAGAAGGATGGCAAAGTGAACAAGGGTATATGTGATATACAGGTTATTGATGTGTACCTCACTAGTGTTTATAGTAGCCCCTGGGTATTTGATACTTGTTCGGTTGCTAAGATTAGTAACTCGAAAACATGAGTTACATAATAAACAGAGACTAGTTGAGGGGAAGTGACGATTAGTGTTGGAAGTAGTTCCAAGATTGATATGATCATCATCACACACTCCGTATACTTTTGGGATTAGTGTTAAACCTAAATAAATGTTATTTGGCGTTTGCGTTGAGCATGAATATGATTTGATCATGTTTATTGCAATACGGTTATTCATTTAAAGTCAGAGAATAATTGTTATTCTGTTTACATGAATAGAGCCTCCGATGATCATACACCCAATGAAAATAGTTTGTTGGATCTCGATCGTAGTGATACACATATTCATAATATTGATGCCAAAAGATGCAAAGTTGATAATGATAATGCAACTTATTTGTGGCACTGCAGTTTGGGTCATATCGGTGTAAAGCGCATGAAGAAACTCCATGTTGATGGGTTTTTGGAATCACTTGATTATGAATCATTTGATACTTGCGAACCGTGCCTTTTGGGCAAGATGACTAAAACTCCATTCTTCGGAAAAATGGAACGAGCTACTGATTTATTGGAAATAATACATACCGATGTATGCGATCCAATGAGTGTTGATGCTCGTGGCAAGCATTGTTATTTTCTAACCTTCACTGATGATTTGAGCAGATATGGGTATATCTACTTAATGAAGCACAAGTCTGAAACATTTGAAAAGTTCAAAGAATTTCAGAGTGAACAACGTGGAATAGTTTCATAGCTCATGCCACATGGAACACCACAGTGTAATGGTGTGTCCGAACATCGTAACCACACTTGATTGGATATGGTGCGATCTATGATGTATCTTACCGATTTACCACTATCGTTTTGGGGTTATGCATTAGAGACAACTGCATTTACGTTAAATAGGGCACCATCAAAATCCGTTGAGACGACACCTTATGAACTGTGGTTTGGCAAGAAACCAAAGTTGTCGTTTCTTAAAGTTTGGGGCTGCGATGCTTATGTGAAAGAGTTTCAACCTGATAAGCTCGAGCCCAAATCGGAGAAGTGCGTTTTCATAGTATACCCAAAGGAAACTGTTGGGTACACCTTCTATCACAGATCCAAAGGCAAGACACTCGTTGCTAAAAATGGATCCTTTCTAGAGAAGGAGTTTCTCTCGAAAGAAGCGAGTGGGAGGAAAGTAGAACTTGATAAGGTAACTGTACCTGCTCCCTTATTGGAAAGTAGATCATCACAGAAACCGGTTCCTGTGACGCCTACACCAATTAGTGAGGAAGTTAATGATATTGACCTCAAACCGGTTCATAGGGCTCCCCCTTGAAAATACATTTATTTTCTATGTCTTGTCGATCATCGGCAAGTCAACCAAAGTCCACACTTTGTTCTCATAAAGATGTGAATATTGGTGTTAAATCACATGGTGATGTGAACTAGATTATTGACTCTAGTGCAAGTGGGAGACTGAAGGAAATATGCCCTGGAGACAACAATAGAGTTATTATTTATTTCCTTATTTCATGATAAATGTTTATTATTCATGCTAGAATTGTATTAACCGGAAACTTAGTACATGTGTGAATACATAGACAAACATAGTTTCACTAGTATGCCTCTACTTGACTAGCTCGTTAATCAAAGATGGTTAAGTTTCCTAACCATAGACATGAGTTGTCATTTAACT